TGAATGGTGGTATAAGGCGAGAGATCTGCAAAGACTTGGATCTTATGGCCCTGGATATGCAAAGAGGGGGTGTCCCAGGAACTAAGAACCTCTCATCACAGCTTCCTTGTCAGTGTAAAAATGGGGCTTCACTATTATATCTCTCGGTAACCCTTCAGAACGAAGGGGTTGTAAAGCCCGGTGTGCCCTATCCACCTCCAACTTTTAATCAGGAATGTAAGGGAGAAATCCTTTCAGGGAGTCAGGAACTAAAGCAGGAGTGTCCTTTATAGATTCAGGGAGCCCCCTAATTCTGAAATTATACCGCAGGGATCGTTTCTCCAAATCATCAATTTTGGTTAGAGCAGTCTCCCAACTGATCCTGGAGATATTGAATGCGTGCTGTATTCTGGTTTGTCCTAGCCACAGTTAGGTCGAGCTTATTTTCAATCGTATCCATGCGAGTGCCTAGGCCCTGCAAATCTGCCTTAATGTCAGCGGTAATCTGCAATTCTATCCTGGTCAGGCCTTTATCCAGTAGGTCAGAGAATTTAGCAAACATGGGAGCAACGTCCAGGAAGCTGGGGAATGTAGTGCCAGTAGCTAGGTCAGGGGGGATAGGGCTGGAAGGCCTAGGCTGTGAGAGAACCAGGTCATCCATAGTTTGTTCAATGAGGGATGCTGGCGAATCCCTAGTATAAGCTGGGGTACTCACATGAGTGTCCTGAGTGTCCGGCAGGTCTAACGGGTCCCCCTCTTCATCCCCCGGTAAGGTAAGAGATAGACCGCATGACTGTGCAACGGATCTAGAAGCCTTCTTCAAAATCTCGGCCTGAGAAATGTCCGTTGCTGGTGACAGGAGCAGGTCCGCTACTCCATCTCCCCGGGTCCTTTTCGCCACTGGGGCTTCCCCCCGGACCTCCTGTACCTCGAGGGTGCTGCAAACAAGGGCTGTGGGTGCCATGGCTGTCTATCTTCAGCTGGCCTGGAACAGAGCTCTCCGTTCATGCGGCCATCTTTAGGAGCTCCGTGCATGCCCCCCCCCCCCCCCCATAGCAATTTTTTAACAATTTCAATCAGCTTTCTGTGGAAAAAAAACAAAAGGAGACTGCAAGCTACATTCATTCCTGCCATGTAAATATCAAAACTGTTTATTATAAAATTGTATAGTTTGCAAGGGTGAGAGACTATACTTTTCCAGCTTCTTTTCGCTCCTTTATACCCCCAAAATTGTAAGCCTGTTCACCTTCTCTGTCCCACATTATAGACTAATAGATTGTACGTTTTTTTTGTTTATTTTTGTACCCTCTCTTATAACCTGAATAGATTGTATAATTTAATATACACTATATTGCCAAAAGTATTGGGACACCCTTCCAAATCATTGGATTCAGGTGTTCCAATCACCTCCATGGCCACAGGTGTATAAATTCAAGCACCTAGACATACAGACTGCTTCTACAAACATTTGTGCATGCATGAGTCGCTCTCAGGAGCTCAGTGAATTCAAGCGTGGTACGTGATAGGTTGCAACCTGTGCAATAAGTCCATCCGTGAAAATTCCTTTCAACTGGTCAGCTGTTAGTGGTATTATAACAAAGTGGAAGCAACTGGGTACAACAGAAACTCAGCTATGAAGTGGTATGCCACTTAAAATGACAGAGTGGAGTCAGCACATGCTGAAGCGCACAGTGCGCAAAAGTCGCTAACTGTCTGCAGAGTCATTAGCTAAAGACCTCCAAACTTCGTGTGGCCTTCAGATCAGCACAATAATAGTGAGCTTCATGGGATGGATTTCCATGGCTGAGCAGCTGCATCCAAGCCTTACATCTCATAGTGCAATGCAAAGCATCGGATGCAGTGGTGTAAAGCACGCCGTCACTGGACTCCAGAGCAGTGGAGACATGTTCTCTGGAGTGACGAATAACGCTTCTCTGTCTGGCAATCCGATGGACGTGTCTGGGTTTGCCAGGAGAACACTACTTGACTGACTGCATTGTGCTAAGTGTGTAAATTTGGTGGAGGGGGGGTTATGGTGTGAGGTTGTTTTTCAGGGGTTGGGCTTAACTTTTTAGTTCCAGTGAAGGGGACTCTTATGGTGTCAGCATACCAAGACATTTTGGACAATTTCATACTCCCAACTTTGTGGGAACAGTTTGGGGATGGTCCCCTGCTGTTTCAACATGACTGCGCACCAGTGCACAAAGCAAGATCCATAAAGGCATGGATGAGTGAGTTTGGGGTGGGGGAACTTGACTGGCCTGCACAGTGTCTTGACCACCACCTGATAGAACGCCTTTGAGATGAATTAGAGTGGAGACTGGGAGCCAGACCTTCTTGTCCGACATCAGTGCCAGACCTCACAAATGCTCTTTTGGAAGAATGATCAATCATTCTCATAGACACACTCCTAAACCTTGTGGAAAGCCTTCCCAGAAGAGTTGAAGCTGTTATAGCTGCAAAGGGTGGACCAACTCAATATTGAACCCTACGGACTAAGACTGGGATGCCATTAAAATTCATGTGCATCTAAAGGCAGGTGTCCCAATAGTTTTGGCAATATAGTGTACATCTTTTCCATGTGTCCTAATCTACATCATCTGCATCTGTCCTATCGTATACCCTAATAGAGTTTTAACTTGTCTTCTGTATCCTTCACTTTTACTTTAATACACTATCAAGTGTTATTGATTCTAAGCTTTACTGCCCTTAAAGTGGTTGTAAAGGCTTAAGGTTTTTTACCTTCATGCACACCTCTGCAGCATCCCCTCCAGCCCCCCAAATACTCACCTAAGCCCCCTCGCAATCTAGAGATGTACACTGAAGTCTCGGCTATCCCAGAACTCCTTGTCCTCATTGGCTGAGACAGCAGCGGGAGCCATTGGCTCCACATTTCAGAAGTGGAAATTTGGCAGGTGGATTTTCTCAGCCATCAACAACTGTTTCATGGGGAGTGGGCTTGTCACCCAGAGGTGTTTGAGGAACTCTGTCAACAGTGGGGCACCCCAGAAGATGTTGCTCTTCTGGTGTCCAGGTGCAGTGCAAAGCTGGACAGGTTCGTCTCCAGGACCAGGGATCCACAAATATTCGTGGTGGATGTTTTTGTGAAACTGTCCCTAATTTATGCCTTCCTGCTGTTACACCTTTTACGTCATCTGCTTCGCAGGTACCAGGGGGAAGGAAGTCCAGTGATTTGAATTGCCCCTGCCTGGCCCGGCCTAGGAGAACTTGTTACTTTTGATTAATATGAACATGTCAGCACTTTGGATCTTTCTAGATCGACCCAACCTTCTGTCAAAGTCCAATCTTCCATCCTTCTTTATAGTCTCTGGCTTCAACAGTGAGGTTGTTGAAATCAAGGTTTTGAGAGACTGCTGAATCTGTTGATTAGGTCATTCCTACCATACCAAAGGTTTAAATCCTATTTTGCTTGTTGTGAGGCTAGGGGATTTCATCCTTGCAAGTCATGGGTTTTCTCTGATCTGGATTTGATCAGGGTTTAGCCTTGAGTACAATCAATGATCAGATTTCTGCCTTTGCTACCTTTATTTGAACAACACCTTGCTTCACATTCCTTGGTGCGTGCCTTTTTGTGAAAGGTGTCACGCGTATTGTTCCACCTATCAGGAATCCATGGTACCTCAACTTTGAACTTTCTGTATCACCTGTGATATTCCTCTAATCAATCTGATTCTGAAGGCGATTTTTCTGGTTGCCATTACTTCGGCTCAGAGTTTCGAAATTGGTTGTTCATTCCTGTATGGAACTGTTCCTGGTGCTCTTTCATAACAAAGGTGATTCTACAGCCTCTTCCATCATTTTTACCTAAGGTGTTTTTTTTTTCATTCATCACAGCCAGGACATTGTAATACCGACTTTCTGTCCTAAGCATTAAGCTGCCCATAGATGGATAAAAATTGGCTGCTGGAAAATTTGCTCTCAATCAGTGCTGCAGGCTTTTGCCTGCAGTGCTGACCAATGTATTCTGATGAGGGAGTCTCCCAGTTGTCTGAATACAATAACACAGCAGGAGAGTTCCCTCATCTACTTCTAATGTGTGAATAGGGGAATTACATCAGGTTTTTTTTTTTTTGTTAAACTCGCTGGTTAAACTGGTTGACTATTTCAATTCATCAAATTCCTTTTTTGCTTCCTGAACACCCAAGGAGGGCTAACACAGTCTCCAAATCTACCATTTCGTATGTGATTAATCAGCTTGTTTATCAAGCTTACAGTTTAAAGGGCAAAGTTCCAATGTTTCAGTGACTGCTCATTCTACTACGAGTGTTGGTGATTCTGGGGCTATTCATGATCAGGCTTTGGTAGCTCAAGTTTGTAATTCTGCTACCTAGTCTTCAGTTCATACTTTTACAAAGTTTTACAAAGTAGATGTTAGGGCTGGTGAGGACGCTGCCTCTGGCTGCTGCTTGGGGTTCTAACCTGTTCTGGTATAGTTATTTTGGGCCAGTTGGCTTGTTGCTATGTTGCCCTCCCCTTATTTGCAGTCCTTTTGGACATCCCTAGCATCATGGATTTGAAGATGCTCTGCGCCCTGTGATATACAATAAAGAAAATTGGATTTTTGATATATTTGTAAAATCCTTTTCTTGGAGTGCATCACGGGACACAGAGATCCTACTCCTCTGTTTTGTGGTTCACGGCTTTTAACAAAAACTGAAGCCTTCCCTTACAGGAAAGGGTTATGCATAGCAGGGGAATTTGTCTTTTTTTGAAGGTGGCAGCATAACGCCATTGTCATGGATATGATGATGCTCTGTGTCCCGTGATGTGTGATGTACTCTTAAGAAAAGGATTTTACGGGTTAACTAAAAATCAAATGTTTATAGTGAGATTCAATTGTGCATAGCTACTTTAGGAGATTAAATGTCCACCCAAATTTATGTATCATTTTATTATAGCATAGGGTTGTGTGATTGCGTTGGTGTCTTAGTCTGGAGAATATTTTACAATAATTTAAAGTTTGAAATTGCTAAAGTTCTTCTCTTTCTTTCTCTGCTTAGGTTCTTCTCAGTCAGTCCCTCTTGTACCGTTGACTGAGGACAATGAGGATGCAATGGAGAACAAAACTTTCCAAAAGCTATTAAAAAAGGTTGGAATACGTCCACCAGCAAATGAGCAAGTAAGGATTTAGGTTAATATTTTGCACAGTGTATTTTTTTTATGCCACCATCCATGATTTTTGAAAATGTCAGCTTTTTTTCTGATGTATCTGTGTTAGTGGATCATGCTAACACAGTAGGAATGTGTTTTTTTTTTTTTTTTTTTTTTTTGTATCACGTGTGACCTCATAAATTCAATTCACTAAATAAAAAAAAACAGTTGCATAGCAAATCTCAAAACACAAATTGTTTCTAAATACCAAAAGGAAAATGGGGAGAAACATCCCTTCATCTCAGAGTGTATCATTATATAATTTTATCTATACAAAGTGACTTTTGACACATTTAATATATAGACCTAATCCATTCAAGAGAAACAAAAGGAAAAAAAAGATGAAGATACACATCCCTATCTTACTGCGCCATAGCATAGCCTATTAAGTCTTATGTTCAAGAATCACCCGTCATCAGCAGATCTCTAAATATAAAGGTTGCACAAAAATTATACAAAGGAGGCCAAATGTCCAAAAATTTTGAATAATTATCATATAAAGTAGTGGTTTATTTTTTCAATCATTTGTAGAGGCTGCATTTTGTCTACCCATTCACAAAGCGATGGGGAGTGGGGGGGTGGGAGAGAATATTTCCAGAGTCTAGGTATAGGTATAATTGATCTGGCAACCATCAGAAAGAATCACAGAAGGCCATCTTTAGCCCTATTTCTAGAACCCAGGAGGATTGACAATAATGCAGTTTGAGGGGAGTAAGTTATCTGAGCATATTATCGTGTGTGTATGTGTAAATATAAATATATATATATGTGTGTGTGTGTGTGTGTGTGTGAACCTGGGTTACTTTGGCAAACTTTAGATAAATGAGGGGAAATGGTATGTAATTACCATGTAATCGAATTGGATAACAATACCATCTATTTTGAAGCTTACGATTCTCTGGTATTCAGCTAGCCATAGACCTGTTATGAGTTCTAGGAAAAGCTTTAATAGTTACTTTATGAGTGATCATGCATTGTAATTCTTTTTCTCATTCAGCTATGTAATATGAAAGATTTGGAGTAGATTGGGTCAAGAGTGTAACGTATATAGCACTGAAATGTGTTTCAGGCATTGAGTTCCTGTACAGACTTTTTCCAGTGGAGTAAGGAGTCTACGTAATGAACCTTTCTTCAAATGATCTAAATAAAAGTCTCTGAGCTGGAAAGAAGACAGCAATTGTCCTTGTAGTTGGTCCATATTTTTCAAAAGCATCAGGAATGATTGTATATTATCTGCTGCAGTATAAATTGGGGAGATATTTAAAGATGATCATCTAAGCCAAGTGGATGTTGACCGGCCTGATGGAAAATCAGGATTACCAAGTATTGGTGTCATTGGGCCTACATAAGAAGAGATTGTTGAATCCTTAATTAGATAGTCCCATGTTTTTGAAAAAGGAGGTGTAGAAAAAGGGAAAGAGGTCCGTGGTGGATGGGCAGCAGGAAATATCCACAGCAAAGATCTTAATAGAATTGGAGATATAAGGGATTCAATCCGAACCAATTGTTCATAGGCTGAAATATGCTATCTAGAAGTCTTGTTAAAAGAACTCCCCTGTAATAAAAAAATTAAATTAGGTAGACCCAGTCTGCCATTCTGTATTCTCCCAATAAGCACCACATAAGTATCACAAGTAACGTTCTTGGTATTTTGAGGTGTAATGGGTAACATCTGAAAAACACAGACAAGGGAGGATATCCATTTTAAACAGGGTTAACCTGCTAAACCAAGAGTGGCAAAGATTGGGCTCCTGTTTAAACTTTTGCTGTGTCAAAACAATTTTTTGCATTCTGTATATCTTGAGGATTTTACAGATGTTTACAAAACAAATATACAGAACATAATCACAAAAATAAGAAGAAAGTAAAGAACAAAAAAATGTCAAAACAAGTCATGACTAGTAGTTAAAGCGGAGCTCCAGTCGTTTTTGTAAAACTTAAAAGTCAGCAGCTACAAAAAAAACTTTTAATAAACAGACACTTACCTGTCCCCGGATCCAGCGGTATGCTTACCCAAGGGGGTGCCATGTACCGCCTTTGGGCGCTGGCATCTTAGCTGTGGGCACCCAGCTGTGAAAGCTTGCGGCTTCACAGCCAGGTACCCACTGCGCTTGTGCAAGCCTCACTGGTCACTGTGATTGGTCCCACAGTGTTCTGGGACTTGTGCGGTGTCCCAGAAGACTGCAGGAAGGGAGGGGGGAAGGAGCACTTCTGCTCAGATCACCTAGGTGATCTGAGCAGAAGTGGGAATGGGTATCTGACAAAATGAGGTACTTGCTCCCCTTCCTCCCAAAAAGATCACCAAATGTGAAAGGGGTTTGCCTTAAATCGGCACTACCCTTTTTGGGTGGAGTTCCGTTTTAAGGGGAATAAAAAATATCCAATGAAAAAGAAAGATAGACCCCGAGGTATTTTAAAGCTTCAGGTTGCCAAAGAAAGGAAGGCTTTTTATGAAGGGTGTGTATGGTTTAATCAGAAAAAGAAACATGAAGTGCTTTGGTTTTGTGCGCATTAACCTTGAAATTACGAACGATAGCAAAATCTTTAAACGTATGCATCAGAGCAAGGAATGCAATCTCAAGGTTAGAAAGTAATAAGTCATCTGCAAATAAACCCATTTTACATTCCATATCTATGATACGTACGTTTTATATTGACATATGTCTGATAGTGTTTGCCAAATGTTCCATTGCAAGTATATACAGAAACAGTGATGGCGCAGTGCTAATGAACACCATTTTGTATAGCTATTGGTTCTGATGTACCATTATCCTTAACCCTAGTTGTAGGAGCCTGATAGAACGTGAAAAGTTTCACTAAAAGGTTGGGAGGTTTACTTGTTTGTGTTAATGTTGCAGACATAAAAGACCAGTACAAGCGGCCAAGTGCTTTTTTCAGGATCCACTGCCAAAAGGCAAAGAGGAATTCTGTTCTTTAGGCCATTAAAGTAAGGGACTTGATTGTGTTGTCTCTCTCCTCACATTGAGACACAAAACAGACTTGGTCTACCTCAATAAGGGTAGAAGGGGCTTGAGACATTCACCAATACTTTTAGCATATATTTTCAGTTTATGAGAGAAATAGGTCTATAGCTAGGCAAAGAAAAGGGTCCTTGCCTTCTTTGGTACTTATGGTTTTATAAGCCTCTTGGGTTCGTCTTGGGGAAAAACTTATTCAATATGGTATTGAAAGTACGTAGTACAATAGAAGAAATTTGATTGTGACCAGACACCTAAAATTATGAAGCTTGTAAATCCACCAGGGCCAGAATGTTAAAGTAGAACTATAGACAACATGTTTTTTTTCCATTTTGGATAGAGTAAGGGAGGGCTGTAACTCCTGTAAGGTTTCATTTTTGTCAAATTGAGGCGATTTCCCTGTACTTCCTGTTCCATAGCCAAAACAAGAAGTAAGAGAAAAATCCCTGCAAATTAAGGGGATCTCCTGGGGGGGACCCCCCCCCCCCCCCCCCGGGTCACCAGAGCTAGTGTCCCCATTGGAAGATTACCCCTCTATTAGTTTTCCGGAGACAAGCCTAAATATGGGATTTTATTTTATTTTTACTTTCAATGATAATGGTAAACAGGACAGAGCGGGTGAATCTCCCTAACGGGGGCACAGACAGCAATAAAAACTGTTATAATCCCTCTCCCCTCTAACCAAACTGAATAAAAAAAGGTTTTGCTTTTAGTTATACTTTAACATATTTATAACAGCATTAAGTTCTTGCATCGTAAACGGAGATAACTCTACAATATAAGCTGAAAGTGTAGGAAGTGACGTGGATTGAATATTGTCTTTTACGTTTTCAACAGAATGAGCAGCAGAAGCTCAAGAGTCTGAAAAGGCTAAATCATACAGAGAAGATTAATAATTAAAAAAAAAAAAAAAAAAAAGCTTCGGCTATCTGTTCTGAAGTATTTACTTGCTCCTCAATAGGTCAGTTCATTTTCTAAATATACAGGTGAAACTCGAAAAATTAGAATATCGTGCAAAAGTTCATTTATTTCAATAATGCAACTTAAAAGGTGAAACTAATATGAGATAGACTCATTACATGCAACGCAAGATAGTTCAAGCCGTGATTTGTCATAACTGTGATGATTATGGCTTACAGCTCATGAAAACCCCAAATCCACAATCTCAGAAAATGAGAATATTACATGCAATCAATAAAACAAGGATTGTACATAGAACAATATCGGACCTTTGAAAAGTATAAGCATGGATATGTACTCAGTACTTGGTTTGGGCCCCTTTTGCAGCAAATACTGCCTCAATGCGGCATGGCATGGAAGCTATTAGCCTGTGGCACTCCTGAGGTGTTATGGAAGATCAGGATGCTTCAATAGCTGCCTTCAGCTCTTCTGCATTGTTCGGTCTCATGTCTCTCATCTTTCTCTTGGCAATGCCCCATAGATTCTCTATGGGGTTCAGGTCAGACGAGTTTGCTGGCCAATCAAGCACAGTAATTCCACGGTCATTGAACCAGGTTTTGATGCTTTTGGCAGTGTGGGCAGGTGCCAAGTCCTGCTGGAAAATAAAGTCAGCATCCCCTTAAAGCACGTTTGCGGAAGGAAGCATGAAGTGCTCCAAAATCTCCTGGTAGACTGCTGCGTTGACCCTGGACTTAATGAAGCACAGTGGACCAACACCAGCAGATGACATGGCTCCCCAAATCAACACAGACTGTGGAAACGTCACACTGGACTTCAAGCATCTTGCAGTGTGTGCCTCTCCATTCTTCCTCCATACTCTGGGTCCTTGGTTTCCAAATGTGATGCAAAAGTTGCTCTCATCAGAAAAGAGGACTTTGGACCACTGAGCAACAGACCAGGTCTGTTTTTCTTTAGCCCAGGTAAGACGCTTCTGATGTTGTTTGTTGTTCAGGAGCATCTTGACAAGAGGAATACGACACTTGAAGCCCATGCCCAGGATCCGCGTGTGTGGTGGCTCTTGATGCACTGACTCCAGCCTCAGTCCACTGCTTGTGAAAGTCTCCAACACTTTTGAATGGCCTTTTCCTGACAATCCTCTCCAGGCTGCGGTCATTCCTGCTGCTTGTGCACCTTTTTCTTCCACACTTTTCCCTTCCACATAACTTTCTATTAATGTGCTTTGATACAGCACTTTGGGAACATCCAACTTCTTTTGCAATTACCTTTTGAGGCTTTCCCTCCTTATTGAGGGTGTCAGTGATGGGTTTCTGCACAACTGTCAGGTCAGCAGTCTTTCCCATGATTGTGATTCCTACTGAACCAGACTGAGAGACCATTTATAGTCTCTGGAACCCTTTGTAGGTGTTATGGCTTAATTAGCTGATTAGAGTGGGACACTTTGAGCCTAGAATATTGTACCTTTTCACAATATTCTAATTTTCTGAGATTGTGGATTTGGGGTTTTCATGAGCTGTAAGCCATAATCATCACAATTATGACAAATCACGGCTTGAACTATCTTGCTTTGCATGTATTGAGTCTATCTCATATATTAGTTTCACCTTTTAAGTTGCATTACTGAAATAAATGAACTTTTGCACGATATTCTTATTTTTTTGAGTTTCACCTGTATGCGCTGGACTGTTTTTTATATGTAGAATGGGCTAAGATTTTGCTGGGTTTATTTCCAAATTCATACATGTGGCGTAAAGACAATTCACACTGACACTTGTGAAACATATCTATAAGGGGCTGCAGCTTTGATCCCAGGTAAGCCTTGTGTTGTTCCAGATCAAAGATGTTGGTAAGTAGTGAAGATATTTGAGTGGATCTTTCTTTTTCAATCTAATGCCCAAATGAATACATTTGCTACGCACAACACAACATTAAAGCTTCTCATGATAATTAAACAAATAAAGCATTATCCTATTCGCTAGGGGGAAAAATTCCTTCCTGATCCATCAGGAGGCAATCGGATATTTTCCAGTTGAGCTACCCCTGACGTTATTACCTGAAAATTTGTATCCAGATATATTTTGTGCATTTAGGAATGCACCAACTTTTTTTTTTTTATTTAAACAACCTACTGAGCTGTCCAGAACTAGTTCTTGAAGGAGTCTACTCCACTACTCCACATTTTCACAGGTCTTACTGTGAGGAAGCCTTTCCATATTTGAAGGTTAACCATTTCAATACCGGGCAATTTTACACCTTCCTGCCCAGGCCAGTTTTCACGTTTCAGCGCTCTCACACTTTGAATGACAGTGCGGTCATACAACATTGTACCCAAACTAAAATTTTATCATTTTCTTCACACAACTAGAGCTTTCTTTTGGTGGTATTTAATCACTGCTGGGGTTTTTATTTTTTGCTAAATTAACAAAAAAAGACCAAAAATTTTGAAAAAAAAAACACGTTTTTCTTTGTTTCTGTTATAAAAGTTTACAAATAAATAATTGTTCTTCATAAATTTAGGCCAAGATGTATTCTGCTACATGTCTTTGGTGAAAATAACCCAAATTAGGATGTATTTTTTAGTTTGTAGGAAAGTTATAGAGTTCACAAACTATGGTATAGATCTGAAAATTGATCAATTTGAAGTACTGACAGCCAATCTAATTTCTTGAGGTCCAAGAAAGTCAGAATTTACAGATATCCCCAAATGACCCCTTTTTGCAGTAGACAGTCCGACGTACTTCATAAGAGGAAAGGTGAGTTTTTTGAAGTTGTATTTTTTTTTTGTCATTTTTCGGAAAATTAAAAAACTAAAAAAATTATTTTCACTATTTTTTTTTTTTTACATACTGTCACCAGTGCAGTACAGCGTCATCATATAACTGGCATAGCGGTGAACAGGGACACTGACTGGTGACAGTATGAAAAAAAAATATTTATATATATATTTTATTATTATTACTTTTAATTTTTTATTACTTTTTTTTTTAAAAAAATTTTTAAGATTTTCTTTTAAGATTTTACTATGACCAAAGTAGTACAATGTTACCATAGTAACATTGTACTACTTTGGGAAAGTGATCAGTATTTTTTTTATTTTTTTTTTTTTACACAATTTGCTAATAGCAAAGAATTACTTTGCTATAAGCAAGCATTTACCTGAATGACATCGATTCATTCAGGGTTTTTTTTTTTTTTTTTTTTTTTTTTTGTGCTTAGCTGTGATTTGGCCACAGCTAATCACATGACATGTGCATGTGACCTGCTGTGACCATTCACAGCTAGGCACTAGTATACAATGGATGGCATGAATGAAGCCATCCATTGTATACAACTGTCATGTGACCTGCTGTGATTGGTCACAGCAGGTCACATGGTACCGGCAACGGGGGCCGATACTCAGATCTGTCATCAGCCGTGTCCAAGGTACATGGCCGGTGACAGATCGCGCAGCTGCGCGGCTCTGCAACCGCGCAAACTGCGCATGTGCGGGAGGACGCCAAATGGCGTATACCCCGGAAATCTACAGCATTTTTGCGGCTGCCAAACAGCTATAGGCCGGGCGGCTAATGGTTAAAGTCTCAAGTCTTTTTTACCTTCATGCATTCTTTGCATGAAGGTAAAAAACCTGTGTGCACAAGCTCCCCAATACTTACCTGAGCCCCATCGCAATCCATCGATGTGTGAATGGACCCACAGAGCAGCAGCTCAGGAGTGTGCCTGCTCGGGTGCCCCTATAGCAAGCTGCTTGCTATGGGGGCCCCTGTCAGGAAGGAGGAGCCAGGAGTGCCAGTGGGGACCCAAGAAGAGGAGGATTCGGGCTGCTCTGTGCGAAACCACTGCACAGAGCAGACAAGTAGGACATGTTTATTTAAAAAAAAAAAACTGAACCTTTAGTATTGCTTTAAATATCTTTTCTGTAAACATAAGGAGTGCCTCCTTGTCCTCTGTAATGATCTGAAAATTAATAACTACACAGTTCGCAAAATGGACCGCTTTTGTATTTATACATGTTGATTAGATCTCCTCTTCTCAAGACAATAAATTTAATTCAGCTAATCTTTCCTCATAGCTGAGCTCCTCCATGCCTCTTATCAGTTTGGTAGCCCTTTCTCTAGTTCTCAGATATCCTTTTTGTGAACTGGTGCCCAAAACTGATCTGCATATTCCAAACAAGGTCTTGCTAACAATTTGTACAGGGGTAAAATGTCTGTGACTCTCTCTCTCTCCCTCTCCTATACCTCTTTTAATACATGAAAGTATTTTTCTATCTTGAGAAACTGCAGCTTGGCATTGCTTGCTATTAAGTCTATGAGCTTCCACAACACCCAGATCCTTTTCCACTGTTGACTCCCCTGAGAAGTCCCCAAGACGAGAAGGTCCACAGCTTAGTGGCTCAAGGTTACAAGCTAGAATTCCAGAGGTTTCCTCCTCTGCACTTTATGCTTTCAAATGTTCCTTTGAATTAGAAAAAAGAGTGGTTCTTTTTCGAGAGCTTGATCATCTCTCACAAGGAGTGATCATTCTGGTTCCAGAGGTCGAAAGGTTTAGGGGTTTCTACTTGAACATCTTCACAGTTCTGAAATCAAACAGGGATGTTCACCCCATCCTGGATCTGAAAAGGTTTCTCCAAGTGCAGAAGTTCCAGATGGAATCTGTGCGGCCATTGGTAACCGTTCTTCAGCAAGTACATTTCCTGTCATCGGGATACCAAGAATGCTTATCTGCACATTAAACTCATAACTTACAAAACTCCCTGCAGGTCCCAAAATCACTCTGTTCCAAGACCTGGTCCATCATATAAATCTAAAATGGTTAGGAGCCCATAGCAAATAATCATGAAAAATCAAAGTGCCCATTACTTGTTTTGTTTATTTTTTTTATTTATCTACACATTATAATCTTCCTACCTCATCAAAGGTTTTTGTGGTGAAGGACCGCCATTTTCATTTTGTGGCCTTGCCATTCTACTTGTTCACTTCTCCTAGAGTATTCACCAAGGCACTAGCTCTGGTCCTAGGGCCCAGGCATTAATGTTATAGTCAAAACCAAAAATCAGGATAAAAAAAAGGATATGTAGATAACCTGCGTCTTGGGATGGACAATAAAGAAAATGGAATTTTTGTTTAACCTTGCCTAGCTGGGGGGGGGGGTCATGCCCAGGAAGAGATTCCTGTAATTTTTTTGCCAGTGTCCAATACCCTGAAGGTGGCAGCGTAACTCTGTCATAAGGGATATGAAGATAACATGTCTCCTGTGATGTACTTAAAGAAATGGATTTTACAGGTAAACATAAAAATCCAATTTCTCTCTTGTTCAGTTATTTTCTTATGGAATGAGACTGTGGACAGCTTGCTTTATAGTGCATTTCTTTTTACTACTGCATTAAAAAAAATAATATACATATATATGTACTCTTTCAGGAATCCTTTTGGCGAATTCCAGGAAAGTTAAGTGCTGAGAAACTTCGGGAGGCAGCCAGTTCTTTTCTGTCATCTCCAGAAGAGCAGCCCATTGATGCTCACATAGACTCTGATGAGCAGGTTCCCAATCTAGAGCAGAGAGCTGAGGCACTACGTTCTCTCTTACTTGCCAGAAAAAAGAAAGTGGAAATTGCACTTCAGGGTAAGAGGATCAATGTTTTTTTTTCTTTGATACCCGACAAATGTTTTCAACTTAAACGCAATGTATAAGAAACATTGTTTTCTTTCTGATACTATGAGGTGGATTTACTAAAGGCCAAAAAACTGCATTTTGTAAGTGCAGCTGCACTCATTTTCCCCAGATGTTAGTGAATATGATGTAGCTCTGCTGATTTCCATCATCCAATAATGTGCAAGCAAAATGGGTTTCCTTTTTTTTTTTTTTTTTTTTTTTTTTTTTTTTTTTTCCTTGTACCTGATTGAGTATTCTTTACAAAGTGAAGCTTTCCCACATTTGCTAAGATCTAGGGAAAATTAGTACAACTGCACTTGCAAAGTGAATAGTCTATTTGCCTTTAGTAAATCCACCCTTGTGATTTTGAACGTTATATTGCCAATGTCTTTTGCATGTTCAAATAGAATTTTCCTTTTGTGTTCCTTATTTGTACTTACAGTCAATATTTCAAGCTAAAGTATAGTATTTGGTTCTGCGGTACAAACCGTATAAAAAAAAAAAAAAAATGTAGTAGCTTACATGAAATCTGATTTCTAGGCAGACTCCTTAATTCTGCCTTTACAGGATGTTGCACATCATTACAATAGTATTTTCAGATGTTTTTTTTTTTCTCTTTCTTTTTCTTATTAATCTTTTTACTTTGCTGCCAGAAACAGAGCAGACATCTCCTGGCGCATCTGCAGATCCCGAAAAGTCAAGTAAAAGGTATAGAGGTGTTTATTTTATTTTATTTTTTTTCAATTAAAGCAGACCTTGCACTAGTGTAGCAATGTTCACTTAATCACTTTGGGCCCTCTCTGTTATGGAGTTATTACACAAATACACTATTTGTTTATGGGAATGTTGCATTGCTTATACTTCCTGTTTACTGTTGTCTCTCTTACTGTTGACCTGGATGTAGTTATGCAGTTCAAAATGACTCCTCAGACTAATAGCTTGTAGTATCTTGATTTCCATACATGAAATGTGGTGTCAGAAGTGACTGGAAATCGGGACCAAGCCTCTTGTTTGGAATGCAGCAATTCTGTGATACAGCTCTGTCTACTGCTTGAGACGGCTCTTCACTCTGTGTTTTTTCTGTTATTTGAGTACTCAGAGACTTAATGACTATATGGCTGCCATAAATTATATTCCTCACCCGGAGGGGATGAGAGTCAGTGGGGATTGGAGCAGCAACTGGGAAACTTTCAGAGCTGAATTTGAGGATTAATCCCTGGTCACAGGGCTGAATGAGAAACCTGCAGAAGTTCAGGTAGCAACTTTGAGAAGAGTCATGAGTAGTGAATGCAGGCATAAGCACAATCTGAACCTCACAGCAGTGTATAAGCACAATTTGAACCTCATGGCAGAACAGCAAGAGAATGTTACAGCCATTTTAGATGCGCTGAGAGCTTATTTCAAACCTGCTAAAAATTTAATTTATGAAAGATATGTGTTTTGGATGCTGCAAACAAGAAGAGGGTGAATCTCTTGATAAATTTGTTACATGCTTGAGAGAAAAGGCAGCAACTTGTGAATATGGTATTCTGAGAGATGAACTGATAAGGGACAAAATTGTTCTCAGCATACATTGTGAGGGCACCTGCAGGCATCTTCTCAGAGAGCACAACTTAACCTTGAACACAGCCAGTGACATACCATACAGCGGAGCTCACTGACAGACGTCTGAAAGTTATGGAACAGGACAGACCAACAGGATAAACATTGCAATGCAGCAACACCACATGAGCAAACAGCAGCAACATCGCCGCCCATCCAACACAAATGCAGCCGACCCTTCAGCATGTAAATATTATAGGATTGTGCATCAAAGTGCCCAGCTTATGGGAAATCCTGTAGCTCTTGTGGAAGAGCAGATCATTTTGCTAACGTTTGTCAAGTAAGAAACAAGCATCAATAGGAAAATTACACACCATGAAGGATACATCTGAATATGAGGAAGAGCCACACACCACTGAAGTGATATACAGCAGTGATTTGGACAGTTCTGTGAAATTCAGAGGAAAGAAATGGTTTGTCACATTAAACTTAAATAATAAGTCTCAATCTTGCCAGCTTGATTCTGGAGCGACGTGTAATGTTATGTACTTGAGAGGCAAAATTATATTAGCACCTGAAGCACGTCTAACACCAAGTCACACCAAACTGAAGTTATACTCAGGTGAAATGACGAAATCTTTAGGACTCTTCAGGACCGAATGTGTCATTTGTGGAGTGACTCACAAGCTAGAGTTTGAAATTGTGGATGCCTGCCAAAAGCCACTGTTATCCGACTCCACCACTGAGCAGCTAGGGCTCATGCATTTCTCCATCCCCCACAGAGCTCAACATGATGGACAATCAATTCAAAGGGCCCTTGACAAAACAACAGCTATTACAGGAATTTAGTGGCGTTTTAACTGGGCCTGTAGAATCTGTTCAAGGGGTAGTTCATTTCGACCTTGACGCAGGTGTTCCTCCAGTCCAATGTGCACCGCGCAGTGTGCCAGTGGCATTAAAACAGGCAGTCACGGCACAGCTTGATCAATATGAGGCTGATGGACATTTAGCATCAGTAACTGAACCAGGTGATTTGATAAGTAACATGGTGATTGTAAAGAAGCCTGATAAGCTAAGCATGTGCATAGATCCCAAATTCTTGAATCAGGCACTAAGCCAATCCCATTACATCACGCCAACCCTCGAGGATGTTTTGTACAAGCTGCCAAAAGCATGACTGTTCACGCATGTTGATGCCAGGGATGCATTTTGTACAATGTAGGTTGGATACTGCAAGTGGCTACATGACAAATTTATAGTCTCCCTGGGGCAGGAAGAGGAGGCTCAAGCAGCCTTTTGGAGTGTCAGTTGCACCAGAGGTGTAGCAAGATCATGATGGTAAACTGCTGGAATTGATGAATCGTTGTAGGCAGGTGAAACTAAGACTTGACATGAAAAAACTGCAATACAAGGTCATAGTAAATGTGCACACCACTCAGTTTGCAATGTTCAACAGAACCTTGATGTCCTGTCACAGATCAATCCTTCAGACTTAAGATCTTAATGTCACAGACCAGCGTTTGCTTCAGGATAAAACAGCACACAAATTGACGAGAGTCTGTAAGTACTTAAATATGTTGTCCTGAATGGCTGGCCAGATTCAAAGGTGGAGGTGCCATTACTTGTGAGAGAATATTGGACTTTCAGAGATTAAATCGGCATTCAGGATGACATACTTTACAAGGGGCCAAGAGTCATCAGAAATGTTGACACAAATTCATGCAAGTCACATTGATGGAGACACATACTATAGGCAGGCATGAGACACCCTATACTGGCCCAACATGCAGAATGAGATTATAGACTTTGTTAGCCATTGCTCTGCATGCAATGAACATGCACAGGCACAACAGAAAGAAACCATGATGTCACATGTGCTGCCCACCCGGCCTTGGCAAATTGTAAGCATGGACTAACTGAATCATCCTGGGCAAAATTTCTACTGATTGTGGATCACTATTCTGACTTTTGGGAGATTGAGCACCTTCCTGAACTGCCTGCTGAAACTACAATCAAATGTTGCACAGTATATTTTGCATGTTATGGCCTGCCGGACAAAGTAATATCAGATAATGGACCTCAATTTGCATGTGAGCAATTCAGACGGTTCTCTACAAATTGGGGGTTTGAACATCTTACCTCATCCCCATGGCACCCACAAGCTAATGGCAAAGCAGAATCAACTGTATAGATAGTAAAGAATCTTTGCAAGAAGTCGCATTATGATAGTAATGACCCGTGGAAAGCCATTCTACATTGGAGCACCCCAACCGAAGGCAGGCAGTCGTCCTGCACAGCGCTTTATGCCAAGGAGACTGAAGACTTTGCTACTTTTGGCAAAGAAATTGCTTGAACCTTGTGTGGTTACAGGTGTACTGAAGAAGCTGCCACATAGGAAACAATCTCCAAACTGGCATACTGTATGATGTATCGTCCTAAGACTTACCTGAAATAAGCATTGGGGAGCCAATTCGTATGAAGCCACGGACTGGTCACAGGAGATTGGGCACCTGTGTTCAGAGGGCTGCTCTTCGCTTATATCGTGTGGATTTGGAAGGCAGTCTCTTTTGCCACAATCGAGTGGACCTGCGAGTGGCAGAACGACTAGCAGCACAAGCCTCCTGCACATGATCCTCCTGAGGCACTCACTGTCCCAGTATTATGGGACCAAGTAAGCAAGGCAGAGACAATGCTACTGTCATATCTGAAGGATGCCATGAGGATGACATAAGCCACATATACCAGTAAGTTCCTCTGTGCTAAACACACCAGCCAGGAAAGAGAGCAGCACTTCAACACCTTCTGGAGCTGAACAGCATGGAAAAATCACTGTGGCCTTGCGCAGCGGTTGAGTTTCAAGACCACCATATAGACTCAACCTGTATTGTGTCTATCAGTAACACAGTATGTTATGTTTAAGACTGTTCAGGATCTCTTTTAAGGTTCTTTACATGTTTTTAGATTGAATGTAAAAAAGGGGAGAAGTTATGGTGGTATTACACAAATACAGTGACTGTTTGTTTATGGTAATATTGCATTGCTTATACTTTGTTTACTGTTGTCTCTCTTACCTTTTGACCCGGATGTAGTTATGCAGTTCAACAGGACTCCTCAGACTAACAGCTCATAGTGTCTTCATTTCCATATATGAAACGCTCTCTTCCATCTCAAATAAATAAATATTGAGCATCATATTGTGAGATGTGAGCCACTGGGCATTCCCTGAGATCTGCTCAGAAGGATGATGATGTCACCCCCTGCAGTATGGAAGCTAGGGGAAAGGTAAATGTATTAACTAACCCTCCCTAGGTTGTTTTTTATTCCTCATTTTGTGTCGGTTTCAGTTGGGAGGAGATGGCCTAGTGAATAAGCAAACCTTGCTTGGAGTGCAAGGTCTGCTTTAAGTTGATGAACATAAATGCAGGTTATCATTTTAGGCATTTTCAATGAATGGAACATTTAAATTTTTTCTTTCATAGGGTAAAGGTTAAAAAGAAGAACCAACTAGTGGACAGTGATGATGAAGAACAACCAGAAATAAATGACGGTTTGTTGCTTATCATGAATAATAGCACAAATGCCTAGATTTACATTATATCATATGCAGCTTAATGCATAATTCATTTAAAAAATGTATCAGTTAAATTGCATGCAGTTCTGTGTGGTAGTTACAAGTGACCTCTTGCATGCAAGGTTACTATCAGATTTCAGTGTTCGATGTGTACATTGCTTATCCTTGTCATGTGACAGGCCTTGAATGGTTAATTTTTTTATTTATTTTTTTTTTTTCCTTTTGGATGGCATCTCCCCAGCTAAGAGATGACTGTCTTGTACATTAAACAGTACTGTCTGAAACTAGTTCCCAGTTCACCAGACAAAGTGTAAACACCCTGACTACTGGTGGCATTGACGTTCGGCTTTAGGATACTGACATATTTACACTTTATGTGCTAGACTGTTATTTCCTTTCCCTAGGAACTTTTTAAAGTTTTTTATTAAATGACACAAATATTTTTCTCACTGAAATTGTTGCAAGAAATAGGTTTTGGCATTGAAACAAGGAAAATTAAACTCCAATTGAACAATTACCAAAGAATTTGTCATTCTGACCTGCCACACTTGGTATCCAGACAGCATATGCATATTCACAATTGAAGGTAGAACTGGGCTAGGGACATTTGCCCCTCTGGTAGTACAAATAAAATATGTTGGGCTGTGGCCTTGAATTGAGATGCTTCTCCATTTAAGCCTGCAGTCAATGTGGGACTTGTAGTCAGTGAAAACTTCTGCGCATTATATAACTATCTACTATCTTTTCTGACCTGTGATCATGTCTGACAGGCAGAATTCTGTCATTCTCTTTGCGGCTTTGAGATGTTATGTGAATTCCAAGAGCTAGAAATTAAGTCACTGGTGAAAGAATGAAAAAAAGTGAAATATCTTGTGCTCATTTTTAAATTAAGCAGAATGATCGGGATAATTTATGCTGATGCAGTGGTGTTTTGAAGATTCTATTTAGGCGAGTCTGTATTATTTTCACTGAGTAGCAGACTTGTTGTTCAGCTCTTAAAATTCATTAGTTTACAATCCCTTGTTTTTAGCATTCATTTGGAAAAATGTTTTACAGTAAACCATGTCCTCTAAAACAACACCTACCTTTCAACCTGACCACCAATTGTTGAAGCATCATGGCACACTTTGTATGATTAACGTTTTCCCATAATAAATGTTCTTTACCATTAGAAGTTCCCAGTGCTCCCTTGTCCCAATGATTGTTAGTGTTTTGATAAACAATATAATACATCCATGATTATACATAAACATTCAGCAGTCCTGTTGTTTTTACAGCCAATACATGATTGGACTTCATGATGTTAACATGCAGCCAAACCTTTTAATGCAACAAACTTTGGAAGTGTTTTTGTGTTTCATAAATCGGGTGATAAATTCACACTGTGAACTGACATTGTTGATTTATGTACGTACAATTTTGGAATACAAGGTCATTTTGTTTTTATCCATTCTTCTTACTGTTGAGATTGCTGCTCATATTTTCACTTAATATTTCAGCTGTTCAAGAACTTCAAAATATCTCTGTTGACATCTCTGCAACTGATACCCAGGTTGACAGGTAAGTCTGGACCTGAAGCCTGGGTTCACACTGATGCGTTGTGGCACATCGCATGTGATTTGCACAGGAACCGCACCACATTCCTGTGCAAATCACAGGTGATTTCTGTGTGGTGCAATTTAAGCCATACATTTTGTATGGCTCAAATCGCACCGCATCCACACTAATAAGTTCAGGACCCTTTTTTAGTCCACACCAGAATTGGATCGCATAGGTGTTTACACCCATGCAATCCATTTCTGCACATCGCACCACGTTTTTCGAACTGATTTCGGGGTGTCATTCGCTTAAGATACACACCCGCAGTGGTTTGTATGAATGCTGTGTGGAAATCGCAGAGAAACTGGTGCAAATTCCATACCGCATCAGTGTGAACCCAGGCAAAAAGTTTTACCTTGCCATACTTTTCTGGCTTATTAACTTACATTACAAAAAAAAATGCAAAAAAACACTTTGAGACTCCATGCACACTAGCAATTTTTACAAGCTCAAAAAACGCTGGATAAAAAAATGCTGGTAATAGTGTTTTTAGTAGCTTTCAGAAGCGTTAGCATTTTATTAGAGTTTTTATAGTACATGTAGAGGGGAAAAAAAACTATAAACAAAAAGCTGTTAGGTTAGTAGCGCTTAGCTTTTTTTTCTTCTACTGGAAAAATGCTCCAAAAAAGCTCTACAAAAATGTTTCTCTGCTCCTAGACGCTGAAGCTCAAAAAATGCTAATAGCCTAAAGTAGTGTGCATGGACACATATGATAACACTATTTAGCTTCTAGAAGCAGAAAAAAATATTCTGATAATAGCTTCTAGGAGCTTAAAAAAACGCTAGTGTGCGTGAAGCCTGAAAAGCTAATTAGTGTTGACTGAGATCTTTCAAGCAGAATATTTACATTTATTGTACTGCTACAGGGCAGCACACTTGCACAAAATCGTGTGTATGATCTGCATTTCCGGGTGAGTGGCGCACACGCCGCCCTACCCCGCGCCGTTATTAACTGCTGGGGATGTCAGTCACCAGGTTCCGGCCAGCGATTTCCAGCCAGGACTCTGTGATCTTTGAAAAAGCTGACCGGGGAAAGAACTGTGTGTAAACAACACAGGTCTCTCTCCTGTCAGCATGGACATGCTGCTTTGTATTTATGCACAGCAGAGAGATACAAAGCAGCATGTCTCCCAAGTAAAACAGCACATAGCACACAATGTAAAACACACGCAGCACACTGTTAACCCTTTGATCGCCCCAGATGTTTACCCCTTCCTGCCCAGTGTCATTAGTACAGTGTCAGTTCCCACCCAGTGTCAGAATGCCTGCCACAGTCCTGCTATAAGTCGCTGACTGCCACCATGCTAGTATAAATAAAAATTCCAGTATATATACCGCTATTTATAGACGCTATGACTTTCACATAAAACCATTAATATACACTTACTGGGATTTTTTTTTTTTTTTTTTTTTTTTTTTTGGGGAAAAGACTTGTAGCAGAATTTTGGCCTAAATTTATGACAAAATAAGATATTTTTTTTTTTTTTACTGGATATGTTTTATAGCAAAAAGTCAAAAATATTTTTTTGATGTTTTTTTTTTTTTCTTCAAAATTGATGGTCAGTTTTTGTTTATAGCGCAAAATATAAAAACCGCAGAGGTGATCAAATTCCACCATAAGAAAGCTCTATTTGTGGGGAAATTACATAAATTTGATTTATGTACAGCGTTGCATGATCTCGCAATTATCAGCTAAAGTAACGCAGCGCCGTATCCCAAAAAAATGGCCTGGTCAGGAAGGGGGGTAAAAATCCTCTGGCAAGTGGTTAAAAAAAAGTTTGTCGTCCATTGAGAGACACAGCTCTGATGGATATTCACTACTTCCCCTCTCACACTGTGTATACCTCCTATGGACCAGAAAGGTTTTTAGATTTCTGCTATAGATCTGTTTATCTAGCAATACCTTTGTTATTACTTAAAATAACCTACTAATGCACATGCAACCCCAATTCCAAAAAAGTTGGAAGGCTGTGTAAATTTATAGATAAAAACAGAATACAATAATTTGCAAATCTCATAAACCCATATTTTATTCCCAATAGAAAACATCAAATATTTAAATTGAGAGAGAATTTTGAAATTTGATGGTAGCAACATGTTTCAAAAAGCAGGCAAAATAAGTGGAGCTGGAAGAACATTTTGCAACATGATTAGCTATAAAAAGAGCATCTTAGAGAGTCACAAGTAAAGATGAGCAGGGGGTCACCAATCTGTGAAAAGCTTTATAAAAATTGTCGCGCAATTTCAGTTCTTCAATGTAAAATTGCAAATACTTTAAATATATCAACATTTACAGTACATAAATTCATCAAAAGATTCTAGGAATCTAGAGAAATCTCTGTCTGCAAGGGACAAGGTCTGAAATGCAATATTGGATGACTATGATCTTCAGCCCCTCAGATGGCACTGCATTAAAAATTGTCCTGATTCTGTGATGGACAGAATGGAGGTTTTTTTTGCATCATATGCTGCTTGAAAAGTCATGTGAAAAATGTGAATAACACAGGTGAAACTTGTTGATGTAATACAACTTGTTTGCTGTGTTATGAAGGAGAAATAAAATAAAAAAAAAAATAGATATGTGTTAAAGTGGAAAATGAAAAGTCATTGGCTATATTCTGTAAGGAGCCCTGTTTAATGATATTACACAAAGATGAGGATGTTTTGAGACCAAATACATCCTTTTGCCCAAGGTGGTCTGTGCTTTTTATCTTAAATGCACATTCCATATTGTTTCCTTCTTTGTCCAGCTCTGGATCATCATAAAGAGATTTCTCTTCATGGTTTGATGTGGTGAAGGCCATTAGGATTCACCTCTTGCCTACTGTTTCTTCTTTGGCAAATTTAAAGGATACGTTCACCTTTGGGAACATGTTACATGTTCCACCCGTTTTTAGAGTTAAACATGTAATGTGTTCCCAATGCTGCTGGCTCCACCCCCTCCCCCCCCCCCCCCCCCCGACAGATGGTTGCGGCAAAGTTCCCAGTACTAGCTGTCAGATTTAAAAACCGCAAAGCCACATCATTAATTCACAGTGTTTTTTGAATGAGCAACAAGTCCCGACAGCCTTAGCGGCTGTCAGCTTGTAGATCTCAGTGAGCGCCGTGGTAGTTTATTGAATCTTCCTGTCAGTGTATCTGCTTGCCCATGCATCCTGTACGGGCAAGCAGATATACTGAAAGGTCTGCAGGAGATGCATGGCACCAGCTGTTGTAATGCTTTACAGTCTCCTGCAGCCAAAAATAATAAATACACATTTTTTTTACCTGCAAAAAATGTGCATTTATTATTTTTGTGAAAAGGGTGAACTTATCTTTTAATCTGTTTTTGTAGGAAGTCCTAAAAATTTCCTCCTGGGACTAATTTCACAATTTTTAGGTGTGTATTTGACAGGTCCCACAAAAAATCTACTATAGTAGAGCAGTGAGCATTTCTTGAGCTTTTTATCTTTAGGCTTTTGTGAGTCAGATCTGTAAAGCTGTGACCCAATCTTCTGTTCACACATTTTCTAGGTTTCACAAAGTAGATGTATCTGCCTTTACAGTTTCTAGTTTCAATAGAAAAGTTATGCAAATGACTGTTTACTGCCCTTGTTTTGGGTTTTTTTTCTGTTTGGGTTGGTTCACCTCAGTTCATATGTGCAATGGCTCTTCTGTTTGGACTGCTTTTCAATTCCCCTATTTATTACCTAGTCTCCAATTTCCCTGTAGGGGGCAATATAACCCTACATTGCTTAACCACTTGCCCTCCAGCGGATTTAACCCCCCTCTTGACCAGGCCATTTTTTGCGATACGGCACTGCGTTACTTTAAGGGACAATTGTGTGGTCATGCAACAATGCACCCAAATAAAATTTGTGCTTTTTTTTAACATTTTGGGGTAATTGATGATCGCCTCTACGTTTTTTAATTTTATGCGCTATAAACAAAAAAAGACTGACAATTCTGAAAAAAAAACCCCCAATATTTTTGACTTTTTGCTAAGAACGTTCAGTAAAATAAATTTTAAAAATCAAATTTTCTCATTAATTTAGGCCAAAATGTTTTCTGTTTCATGTATTTGCTAAAAAAAAAATCCCAATACTGTAAATTGTTTTACGTGTAAGTTATAGCATCTACGAATGGCAGTATACTTATAGTGGGACTGCGGCAGGCATTCTGACACAGAGGGGAACTAACTGCCACTGACATCCCAAATGGCATTAATATAAAGCACTGACACTGTACTAATGGCACTGGGCAGGAAGGGGTTAACATCTGGAGCGATTAAAGGGTTAACTGTGTGGTGTTTTACTGGGTGCGCTGTGTGTGTTTTACTAGGGAAACATGCTGCTTTGTATTGCTCTGCATAGCAGAGCAATACAAAGCAGCATGCCGGTACTGACGGGAGAGATCTGTGTTGTTTTCACACAGACCTCTCCCCTGTCACTGTTCCTTGGCGATCACCGGGTGCCAGCGAGGAATCTGTCTGGGACCCAGTGATCTTCAGCTGTAGTCGCCAATGACGGTGCAGGTAGGGCTGCGCACGCACGCCCCCCCTTCCCACAAATGCAAAATCACATATATATTGTTTATATTATATAAATCACGTGATTTTGAGCAGCCCTGCTGCTCTGTAGCAGTACTTCTGTTATAGGGCGGTCGGGAAGAGGTTAATATCATCAGAGCTGTGGCTTTGAATGGACTCAGAAAAAAAGATTTTTATATAAAAAAAAATTCTAAGAGTAAAAATTCCTAAGATTTATGCAATCTTGTATAGAGCTCCCCCCCCCCCCAAGTTTAATTGAAGGTTAATGATGCGCATTAAATGACATATACCAATGCTGCGCAGTAATTGATTTCAAAGTCTCATAACATACACTCAAAAAAAAGCGTGAATAATAATCTCCCCGAATTATATCAAATTAAATGTCCAATAGTCTCTATAAGGAAAGTTCTTTGCTTGAGATAGATATATCATCAAAAATATATTTTTCAATATAATCTACTGTCCATCCATATCCATGATTTGATTTGCTTGGTAAAGCAATCTCTCACACTTCAGTGTCCAATCCACCATATACAGTACAATACCCACCACCTTTGCCTCAGTTCTTGTGTGTGACAGCTCCTCTCTTTGGACTGCTTTTGATTGCCCCTATAATTTCCTAATTCCCCTGTAGGCGGCAGGATAACCCTACATTGCTTAATATCATCAGAGCTGTGGCTTTCAATGAACTCTGAAAAAAGGATATGAAAAATCCCAAGAGTAAAAAATCCTAAGATAAGACTCTTGTATATGTTTTTTTTTCCCAAGTTTACAATAAATGTATAATTCTAATTGAAGCTTATTGGTGAGCACTGTTGAGCTTTTCCAAGTAATATTCCTCAACTGGCTTTCTTTGGTGTTTAATAGTAGTTTTGCTATTAGCAAGCTTGTGTTGAATCCACCAAATAACCAGTCATGAAATACTACCCAGTATGCTATTTTACAACAAAATGATGTAGATCAGTAAGTGATTAGGCTTTTTGAGAGATTTTCTGCATAGAATTGTTTTCTATAGGAGATTGTCCTTCTTTTGAGAGGAAGGATAGACTATAGACATTGAGGTGATGACAGAAATCATGGTACAGTGTTGATTTCAACACGGAGGCCTCATACACACAGGGCGTTTGCTTTTCTCCTCTGAACTCCAAAACTTTATGGCAGGACAAAATCTGTTAAAAAAAAGTGCCTAAATTTGCATATTGCACACGCGTTTAGTAGTATCAAGTGAAATCTACTGCCCAGAATATTCATTCTAGCCACTGGAATCTATTAATGCTCAAATGTGCCTAAACATGTCTAGCACTCACACTCATTTAAGCACATTTTTCTCCTAATGGTTTTTTTTTTCCTTTCCTCTTCTAATACGCCTTGTAGATGCCTACAGTACATGTGCATGGACACAAAGGCTAACACAGAAGTGCTTTTACAGGCTAAAAAAAAAACAAATGCCTGAAAAAGTGGTCTAACAGTTTACACTTGACACAGAGGAACAAAGGTAAATCTAAAAAATCCCTCCACTGTATAGAATCATTTTTATTTTTTTTTTCACAGACCAAAGGTAGCTACCAAAAGAAGCAGACTGTTAGACAGTGATGATGAGGAAGCAGGAACTGGACATAAAGGTTTGTTTAGTCTTGCATACTGAAAATACTGTTTTTCTGCTGCTTTTGCTTAATCATGCTTGTGTATATCTCCCTATATAGGGGAAGAATCTGTTGGGATTACAAAATCAGCCTCTGATTCCGAGCCTGAGGATGATGTCCGACCAACTAAGAAAAAACGGCTACGAATTGATGATGATGATGATGATGATTATTAAATTCAGTAATAACTCAAGGAGCACATACTATATATTTACAAGCTGTTTTTCATTTCTTATCAGTGGAATAATATCACAGAGCTAACATGGACTTACTGACATTGACAAACTGTGAGAAGAATCTTCAGAAATGCTAAGCTCTGTCCACACTGGAATGAAGTCAGTAGTTTGAATTGTTTATTTAAGATGGACATTCTAGGTTTTCAGCTATTTTCTTGGATTAAGTACACCCTCACCTTTCTCATTGCATGGTAGAAAACATTTGCAGTTTTTATAATTGACAGTTCTAGGTTAACTATTAAGCAGATGTAATAAAATTATGCATAAATACTGTACATTTGTGAATTCCTTACTTGTGCCATCTGTGTTGTATGCAACATTGTGTTGTGAATGAGACACATAGAAAAATCATTGTTTTCTATGTGCCCCTGAAGTGACCTGCATTGATCCAGTGCAGTTTTTTAAAATTTTGAAAGCACAGGTTTTCTATAAGATACTAGTGCGCCAATGTCTTCTTTTTTTTGTTTAATCTCTCTTTATTAACCACCTCCCGTCCGGCCGTTGTATATAAACAGCTGTAAGGTGTATTGCAGGGTCGGGGGGCCGTTTATAAACGGCCTCCCCGCACCCTGCTTGTGCGCGCTCCCTCGGAGCGTGCAGTACTGCGATCCGGTGCCCGCTGTGTCCTCCAGACACAGTGAAACACCGATCATCGACGGGACCTCTGTGCGAGGTCCCGATCATGTGATCACTAATTGGCCAATCAGTGATTACATGCAAAGTAGTAAGCAAGATGTCACTTGTGACATCATTGCTTACTACATGTGAAATCTGTGAATGATCACAGAGGTCACATGGTACAAGGCTATTCACAACAGCCTTGTACCATGTGACAAGCTGTGACCAATCACAGCTCACTCAGTAGTTCTCAATGGCTGCAAGAATGCAGACAGAGAGAGAAATTATTGCTTTTACATCCTACATGGGTGTAAAAGCAATCAGTGTAAAGAAAAAAAAAAAAAAAAAACTTAATCACCCCCCACAAGTAGTACAGTGTCACCATGGTGACACTGTACTGCTAGGGTGACAGTATGTAAAACAAAAAAAAACCCCATAAATTATATAAAAAAATAAAAATGTAAAAAAAAAGTTTAAAAATTATAATTTTTGGTTATAAAATAATTTGGCTTATTTATTTTTTTTTCTAAAAAGATAACGGAATAAATTTTGGCCAACATTTATGATGAAATATTATTTATCTGCAAAATTTTATAAGAAAAACATTTTTTCCAAATTTTTGGACTTTTTCATTTACATAGCAAAAAAAATAAAAATCCCAGCGGTGAATAAATACCACCAAAATAAAGCTTTATCTGTCTCAAAAAAATGGTAACAAATTCATATGGGTACAGTGTTGCATGACCGCGCAATTGTCTCTCAAAGTGTGATAGCGCTGAAAGCTGAAAATTGCCCTGGACAGGAAGGGGGTAATAGTGTCCGAACTGGAAGTGGTTAAAGACCTTTTCAAAACTTAGTTCAAAGGAACAGATATGGTGAGCAATGAAAGAAAACAAGCAAAAAAAAAACAAAATCATAATCGCAGAAAAACAGACATGTTCTAGCCATTCAAAGGCATACCACAAACCCCCGAGCCACCACACAGCAGCCAACGGTCAAGGCCACAGGATGGCTGTGTCCAATAAACTATGAAAGCAGAAAAAAACCATGAGCTAACAGTAAGTATACTGAGCACAAGAGATGAGTCAGGGTACACACATGAGGAAAAAAAAAAAGGGCAAAAGAAAATATCAAGGGCCACAGTAGGCCACCTTAATACAAAACATGATCACAGAGCATGAGATCCGTAAGATGGAGAAACAGTGGGCAAGTGTGCAGTAAAAGTAACTAGGTGTCCTGAAGATACTTTGTGGATCGTCTAGTCCACAGATGTCAAACAGGTGGCCCTCCAGCTGTTGTCAAATTACAAGTCCCATGAGGCATTGCAAGATTGACAGTTACAAGCATGATTCCGAAATGTAGAGGCATGGTTGGAATTGTAGTTTCGCAACAGCTGGAGGGCTGTCAGTTTGACACCCCTGGTCTAGTCAGTAAGGCGGGCAAGTCCAGTGGTCATGGGACAACATTCAGCAGCAGAAAGGGTCACTAATCAAAGGTACTGAATCTAAGAGAAGAGCTAGGAATTATAGAGAGGTGCCTCCAGAGGGAAGGTCGTCTGGGCTTTCCAGTTCCATGGAGTAGTACAGCCAACCAGACCAGGTATCATGAAATTTCTCAAGATCATTCCTAACTATGTGAACCCAGCATTCAGCTTCGTAAATCTTTTCTACCTCACTCCTGAAAAGTAGTGCACCGAGATTGTTTGTTTCCATAATCTTGGTATTAAGCTCTTAGAAGCATTCAGAAGGTGCGTGGTGTGGCAGTTGTGTGCTTAGACACATGGACGCTGACCACCATTTTGTTAAGGTCTACCATCTTGTATCATGATCTGAAAATATTCTCACTCCGTCCAGTCCCCCCCTCCCTTTTGAATGGAATGTGGTCTGTGTGTGCACTGGGGTCACAAGTGCATAAGGCACAGCTGAATAAACTTCATGGTTGTAATTCCTAATTGACTGTACCAGAGTGTCTGACAAACACTTTCATTGACCCAGTCGTAAAACTATAACTCAGTTGGTCACTTGACATGTAAGCATTACAGCAGGGGCCATAAAACGTACATCCCACATGAGTAATTTTTCATACAAATTCATAACTTCAGCAAGAACTAGGGCACATTGATATAAAATATATATTCAGATAGGTAATTTTAATACGAGTCGCATGACACCTTACATCCCTATGTAGTGTCTACAAGAGGGTAGAAAGCAATATATTTTTATCTGGAGTGGCAGGATATGCCATAATTGGTATGTGGACGTTTGGAATATGATTGTGCATATTAATTTGCCAGTTGCTAGGATGCTACCTGTACCTATTGAAGGTTATTGACCATGGTATAAACTTGTAAGGGATTTGGTCATAGCCTGGGTCCTCACCGAACACCCATCCCCAAATGAGGCGATTGGCCCTTTGCTTTCAGGAGACACCCCTTTGGGTTACTAGAAAAAAGGCTAACATGCCTGGAGAGAGGTAAGAAGAGATAGCTTCCTTTTAACATCAGGAACATCTTTGGGACAAAGGAAACATTTTTGTTCGGACGACTGGATTCCGCTCACACCAAGGACTCTTGCAAGTATCCTGCCTTCTGAAACTTCTTTCTTTTATTTCTCTGTTGTTATTATATATATATATATATATATATATATATATATATATATATATATATATATATACACACACACACAGTTGTGTTCAAAATAATAGCAGTCAGACATCACTAACCTGATCAATCACTCTTTTTGGTAGAAATTATATTTCTACATGGCAAATAATTTACTAGCAGGTGTAGTAGAGTAATAGAAATCCAACAGACCCAACAGTCATGACACGCTTGCTGCTGATTCTGTGTAAATGAATCACTAATTGAAAGGGGCATGTTCAAAATAATAGCAGTGTGGAGTTCTATTAGTGAGGTCATTCATTCTTTGAAAAACAGGTGGCAATTATTGCCTTTATTTAGGGAAGGAAGGCAGCAAATGTTGTACATGCTGGTTATAGTGCATTTCTTTCTGAAATTCTGAGGAAAATGGGTTGTTCCAGACACTGTTCAGAAGAACAGCGTACCTTGATTAAAACGTTGATTGGAGAGGGGAAAACATATAAAGAAATGCAGAAAATAATGGACTGCTCAGCTAAAATGATCGCAAATGCTTTAAAATGGCAACCAAAAGCTGAAAGACGTGGAAGAAAGCGAAAAACTACCATTCGAATGGATAGAAGAATAGCCAAAATGGGAAGGACTCAGCCAACAATCAGCTCCAGGAAGATCAAAGAAGGTCTAAAGTTACCTGTGAGTACTGTTACTATTAGAAGACGACTATGTGAAGCCAAGCTACCTGTCCCAACCCATCAGATTATCACCTGCTCTCCTCTCCTTTAGGCGCACCATGAAAACCCACCTCTTCAGCCAACCTGAAAACCCACCTGCTAACTTGCCAACTTCCTCCACTTTTCCTACCACCCCATCCCCCCCACAGCTATCTCCTCCTGTGCCACCATCCCCTCCCTCCTAGATTGTAAGCTCGAAAGAGCAGGGCCCTCGATCCCCTCATGTTTTGCATTGTATTGTTGTTCTGTCACATGTTCTGTCCCCCTTTGTAATGTACAGCACTGAGCAAACTATTGGCGCTTTATAAATACTGTATAATAATAAAAATAATACATCTTTTCTATAAATATTTTAATTGCACCATTTTGACCTTTTTAGTAATAAATCCTATTTTCTGAAAAGTGTTGAAACTGTCCCTAAAGCTTTTAATGCAAACTAAAAGAATCCCTGTCTCTGGAGAATGCTACTGTATGTATTAACCCTCTGCATACATCTGTCTGCGTTGGCAGTGTGTATACAGACGCTTATTCAAACATCATAGTGTTACTGCTAAGATTTGTGAGTTTTTTCCTTCTCTGTAAAATGGTGGTGGTGGCAGTGTGAAGGGTTAATTGCCTAATTAACCTGACCCAGTAACAATCGCTCTCAGGCTGCTGGCACATAGATTGTGGTCCAGCGAGCTGGAAAATTTTTGTGCAGGGCGCAGCTCAGAGTGGCATTGTTACACAAGTGGCAGTGTGGTCTTAGATCGGCTGGTCCTTCGGTCACAAGTTGGTGAGAAGGCCTGGGGTCAGACACCGCGCACCATCATACGGGGTAACACTATGTTTATAAGGTTTGATAGAGGAAGGGGTAGCATGGAACAAGTAATGCAGGGGGGTAAATTCAATAGACTTAAGGGTCGTTCTCTGGATCCAAGGGGATATATCTCCACAAATTTTGGATCTTGGGACAGTACCACCATAAATGCAAGAGGGTGCCTTC